CTCTCTCTCCCCCTCCCTCTCTCCCTCCTCTCCCCTTCTGTCTTTCCTCTCTCTCTCTGGCTCCTTCTTATTTTTTACATTGTATTATTACGGTGTGTCTGTATCTTTCTGGCTGGCCCTAAGAGGCAGGAATCTTATCTGCTGGACACAGGGTTTAGAGCACAGTGTGGACTTTAGAGTCTGCATGCTTGCTTGCCTTCAAGACCTGCCTCCTTACTAACTGTGCAGCCCTGGGCAAGTTACTACTGCAAAATGAAGATAGCAATAATACCTGCATCATAGTGTTGTGGAGGGAATTTGACAAGATTTAAAATTTTTAGCACAGTACCACAGTAAGTACTCAGTATTAGTGTTTATCATTATTACTTGTTTTCCTAACACCTAGTTCAGTGTCATACATTTGGTGGTGACAGTGCCATCGAAGAGCAACTAACTACGCTTTTACTAAATGTATAAGTAATAGAAACAGGATGATTAAAGTATAATATAGCACAAACCTAGAAGCAAATCTTCACAAGTTTTGTTCTAGTGTTGGTTCAGATGCTCTAGCTCAGTGCTGTCCAATAGAAATATAGTGTAAGCCAGAAATGAGAGCCACTGTGTAACTTAAAATTTTCTAGTTAGCCACACAAAAAGGTAAAAAGAAACAGGTAAAATTAATTTTAATAATATATATTTATTTAACCCAATATATCAAAAATGTTATTTTAATGTGCAATCAGTATGGAAAATGATAATCGCCTCTAGGTCTTTTGGCTAAGATGAAGTGAAAAATGGTCGAGCTATTTTACATCGTTTTTTCATACTGAGTCTTTGAGATCTGATGTGTATTTGACACTTAGAGGACATCTCAGTTTGGACTAGCCACATTTCAAGTGCTCAGCAGCCACATATGGCCCTATGTTGGAGAGCATGCATCTAAACTAGGACTTAGGGAAGAGGGACTCTCTGATCCTCATGCTAGCAACAGCCAGAGTTATTTTTTGCTGGGATTTTTGGCATTTTTACATGTGTTAGTTAACATTGCTACTGTATCCCCATCACCCAGTCTAGTGCCTGACACATAACAGCAGCAATGTTATCTGGTTAGCTACTGTCTTAAAGGAGCACTTAACTGTTTAGTTTATATTATTGATGCCCAAACCAAGAAGTTCTAAATGTTTGTGTGTGTATATATATGTATATATATATAGTATGATGAGTGGATTTTTTTGTCTTCGTCTATTAAAAGCAAAAAACAATTTGATGTGTATATGATATTTATGGTAGTAATAAGTAAATTAAGATAAAGTATTTTTATTGATTGAAATCTTTAGTATTGAATTAAATTATATGTACTTACAAAGAGAAATATATTTTTGATGATAACTATGACTTTGTGCCTTCCCAACAGTATGCAGTATAGTTGGGCACATAATAGGCATATGGACCAGTAATAGCCAACAAGTATTAATAATAGTCCTCAAGGAGTCTCTGAACCATGTATACCCTAGACAAACTTGCAACATACTCCCAAATGCTGGGAAGGTATGGCCTACTCTACCTATCAGTAGTATATCTTCACAATCCAAATCACAAAAATTTAACTATTTCTCTTTTAATTATAAATAAAATAAATTTTATTTTTCCAGTTGTCCTTCAATTTAAGATTAAGTATTGGCAATATAATAAAATCAAAAGTGATTTTTATGTCCTCAGGCTATTTTTTTTAAATCCATAGAATCAACTTGAGTATTTAAATGTAAAATGTGAGGGAAGAATGATTTTTTAAATTGATACATAATAATTATACGTGTTTATGGAGTACACTGGATATGTTGATATATGCATACAATTTGTAATGATAACATCAAGTGATCAGGATGCCTATTGCCTCAAATATTTATCGTTTCTTTGTGTTGGGAACTTTCCAAATCTTCTCTTCTAGCTATTTTGAAATATACAGTAAATTATTAACTATAGTCACCCTACTGTGCTGTTGAATGCTAAAACTTATTTCTTCTAACTGTATTTTTATACCTGTCAACCAACCTCTCTTCTTGTCCCCTCCCTCCTACCTTCCTTGGCCTCTGATAAACTCATTCTACTGCAAGGAGAATAATTTTTATTGCCAGAGGAATCCCAAAACATAAAGACTGAAAGAAAATTGTATATTTTTGAATTTTGGAAACAAACTGTTAATATATAGCTTGGTTGTTCAGTGACTGTATGTGCTAGATGGAATGTTAAGGAAAGATGCATTAGATATCACATTTATAAGAAACGAAAATTTTAAAAGGCTAAGATAACATGGAAAAATCTATAGTATTAACTAATTACTAATCTCTCCTATAGAATGAATGAGGTCAATGTGTTGTGCAATAATGCTTTGCATTTATGGATAATGCACAGCAATTTGAGAGACTAAGAAATTCATTGTTTTTGACTCCTTATTTACCTAATTTTGTTTTTATATCCATATGTCACTTCTTGTGTAATTTAGCAATTTCCCAGTTGCTGAGGCCCCTGCATTGGCCTGAATACGAGCCCTGAAAACTTGTGCCTCTTCAAATTCTTTTCCTTCTTTCCTTTCTTTTCTTTTCTTTTTTTTTTTTTTTTTTCCTTTTCTTTTTTTTTGTGACAGAGTCTCGCTCTGTTGCCCAGGCTGGAGTGCAGTGGTGTGATCTCGGCTCACTGCAACTTCTCCTTCCAGGGTTCAAGTGATTCTCCTGCCTCGGCCTCCCAAGTAGCTGTGACTATACACATCCACCACCACGCCTGGCTAATTTTTGTGTTTTTAGTAAAGACGGGGTTTCACCATGTTGGCCAGGCTGGTCTTGAACTTCTGACCTTGTGACCTGCCCGCCTCAGCCTCCCAAAGGCCTAGTTTTTATTTCTTCAGCAGTATACCATGAAACTGGAGCACATGATGCATGACTCTAAAGTAATAAACCTGGTAGCCTGGGGACAGATCATACCATACACATGTATTTACATTTTATAGTTACTATTCAAATTTATCACAAGACTTGTCTGATGCATTTAATGATCCACAAAATTCTCCTTGTGTTTCAGGATAAAATAAATAAGTCATTCATATAAAAGAGCATAATTACTGTGATTTTAATGTGAGCTACACCTTTATATTTTTACTTTTCACTTCATTAATTCTCTGTTGGTGATTGTCAATGGGCACAGTTTGCCCTCATTACACAGCTGCACACACACTCCCCTCGCAATTGACTCTCCGAGGGCTGGGGTTTGTCACCCTCTTCATTCAGTTCCTGACCTCTTGCTCTCCATCCTGGCTGCGGTTGTTCCTTCCACTTCAGTGCTCTCTGAGCTGTGTGCCCACACATGGTGGAAGCGAATGCTGAGCCTTCCCAGAGGCCAGCACTCTGTGTTAAACTGAGAGGCCTAGGCCATGGTTGGTGACCACATTAGGAAACAGGACTCCATGCGCCAGTGTCCCCAGCTTCCGATGAGAGTTAAGTGCTCCGGAGAAACCAGTTGGGCTTAACGTGCCTGTCATGCAGCAAAGGTTGCCTTGTTCTTCAGCTGTTCATGCAGTGAATTGGACAGTCTGACTTTTTATGGCTTGCCAAGTGAAGCCTTAAATGTATTTAATATTTTCCCAGATTGTGGACCCATAGCCACCAACAAGGCTGCTTCCATAAAGATTTCTTTAAAATGGCACAAAATGAGTTCTCTTGCAACTTTTACTAGTTTTATTCAAAGTGATTTATTGGAAGAACTCAAAATTACTCAGTTTTTCTACTCAATTTCTAATTTGCAGAACTAAAATAAAATAGGGGAGGATGTCTCTTGTAACTCTTGAACTCACTGTCCCCATGTCTTCACCTTAAAGGAGGCTGGTAAAATGGCTAGAAGGTGGGAATTTGCTCCTGAATAAGAGAGCAAGCAAGCCTAATACAGAGAATGCACTGCTGCTTTTACACTCTAATGTATTTTTCGTTTCATTAGATTTTTGAAGACTATGAGAAATTGCTTCAGTCTGAGAATTATGTGACTAAGAGACAATCTTTAAAGGTAATATCAAATTCCTTTAAGTCATTGTCCCTGTAAGTTGATATCTCATTAGCAAATGATGGGTCTGTTAGCATTTGAGTAAACACAGAAAAGTTAAAATATCTTTTTTTATAACTTGAGAGGTATTTACTATGTTTTATGTTATGATGGTATTTTATAGCAAAATAATATAAGTGTCCTGTCTTACCTTTGGAAGTAACAATATACACAAGTACATCATAAGTAAAATTTAGAATATTTCTGCTGATGCCAGGCATCTTGGCTCACGCCTGTTTGACTGAGACAGGCAGATCACTTACTTTGGGAGGTTGAGGCAGGCAGATCACCTGAGGTCAGGAGTTTGAGACCAGCCTGGCCAACATGGCA